AGTGAGAAGGAAGTCATCAGGAAGGAGTGAGAAGGAAGTCATCAGGAAGGAGTGAGAAGGAAGTCATCAGGAAGGAGTGAGAAGGAAGTCATCAGAAGGTAGTGAGAAGGAAGACATCAGGAGGTAGTGAGAAGGAAGTCATCAGGAAGGAGTGAGAAGGAAGTCATCTGGAAGTAGTGAGAAGGAAGACGTCAGGGTAGAAGACTAGAAGGGAAAAAGAATAGAGTAGAACGAGGATAGGAGGAATAATAAAATGAAGAACTAAGCTTTGACCTTAGAAGTCCTCATGTGTCTGTCTGTCCAGTAGTTTGCCTACTCTGCATCTCCTCTTCAGTTTCTCTGACCTGCTGAAGGCCAGCTGCTCATCAGCACCCTAGGTGAGATCCTGACATGTTGGAGGTGTGTGTGTGTGTGTGTGTGTGTGTGTGTGTGTGTGTGTGTTTCAGCTATGTTGGAATACCCAGGGTCTGCTGTGGTAGGGTTGCTGGGCTCTAGCAGAGACATATTTTCCTGGCTGTTGTTGATTGGGTTTTTACACTGGCATCTAGGTATCTGGGTTTGGGATGAATATAATTCTAGGCACTGATATCTGGTCTTCTCTTGGTTGGTTGGGGTTTTTTTTTGTTCCTTGGTTTCTGTTGCCCTCTCTGGTTCTTGGGAAAGTGTGATGACTGTGTGTTGCTTGGTAGGAAATTCTTCTGGGATCCTAATAAGTATGGCCATAGGGAGTTCCATGTAAAATGTGTTTCTAGATATTGGGAGCTGACACTTGGGAATAGAGATGGGATCGGGGGCATCTGAGGGGGTCCACAGAAGAGAGGGAATCAGACTGTTCCACCAGGATCTGCTTAGTCCTTTGGGAGTGGGGGCAGGAAGTGAGGAGAGGCTGAAGCAGCTGGTCTGTAACAGAGCTGGGGTTAGACTAGGGGATCAAATTTGGAGAAGGGGGATACTTGAAGATCTGCACTTAGTCTACCTGCTCTCCTAGCTGGAACAGCCTGGTGGGTTCCCAGGCGTACCTGATGGAGTTGAAGGCTGGGATAAAGCGATGATGTGGGGGAGTTAGGAGGGAAAGATATGTATGATCCACTGGTGGGGGGTGGGTGGGAAGGGAGGCTGCAGCAGGTGGCCTGAGCTGGGAAAGACTTGGGGGTTGGTTTGGAGGAGCTGAGGGAGAGATCTGCAGCTAGTCTACCTGCTTCTCTGGCTGGAGTGATATTTTCTATTTTTTTCTAAACTGCTAAAATTGGGGCTGGGGCAATGGCCCAGTTGGTAAAGTGCCTGCCATGCAGGCGTGAGAAGCAAGAAAGGATCCCCAGAACCGACTTAAGAGCCTGGCACGGTGACTAGTATCTGTAACCCCAGTCTTGGGGTGGGTGGAGAAGTTAGGTCACAGAAGCTCACTGGCCAGCCATCCTACCCGACTCAATGAGCTAAGAATCAGGTTTAGTGGGACACTGTCTCTAAATAAATAAATACATTAATTAAAGGTGGAGGGCTTGGAAAGATGGTTCAGTGGTTAAGAGCACTTGTTCTTGCAGAGGGCCCAGGTTGATTCCGAGCACCCACATGGCAGCTCACAACTGTCCATAACTCTGGTTCCAGGGATCCAATGCCTTCTCCTTATCTCTATAGGCACCAGGCATGCACATGGTACACAGATACCCATGCAGGCAAAACACTTGTATATATAATATAAAGTAAATATAAAAAAAATAAAGGTAGAAAATGATCAAGGATAGGTATCTTTTGTTGATCTCAGGCCTCAACATGCATGGGCACAGGGGTGCACATGCAGTCACACATACATAATGCACATACCACACCCATACACAGCCCTCCACAATACAAAATTGTGATAAAATATATGTAAAATTTACCATCTTCAAGTTGGCAGTTCAACTCAGTGGTAGAGCTATTAGATGGGTAAAGCCCTGCATTTGATCCCCCAGCTCTCACACACTTTAAGAAAGCACAAAAATCCTGGCCATCTAAAATATTTAAATTCTGTTATTATATTTTTAATTGATAAATAATAATTATATGCTCTTAGGAGGTCACAGAATGATTGAATAAGATTAATTAGCCAGACTACCACCTCATATACTTGCCATCTTTGTGGTTATATGTATTAGTCAGGGTTCTCTAAAGGAACAGAATTGATAGACTGAATGTGTGTATAATATACATACATAATATATATATTCATACATATATGATTTATTGGACTGGCTTTCTGTGGTCAGGGTTGTCCAACAATGGCTGTCTCCTGATGCACAGGCCAACAACCCATGTGTTGTTCAGTCCATGATGCTGGCAGTCTCGGCAGTCCCAGCCTGATGCTGGGGTCCCAGGTAATTCCCAGAGAGCTGCTGATCTTCTGTGTTGGAATCCTGAAGAAGTAGGGTCTAATACCAGGGAAGGAGTGCCTCAGCAACAGGGTAGAAGGACTTGGCAGTGAGGGTGAGGGCAAGCAGGCAAACACAAAAGCTTCCTTCTTCCATGCCCTTTTATGCAGGCTGCCACCAGAAGGAGTAGCCCAGATTTAGGGTGGGGTTTTCTCACCTCAAATGAGCCAATCAGGAAAATCCCTCATAGGTTTGCCCAGCTGCTTGGGTTTTAATTGGTTCCAGATGTGGTCAAGTTACCAAGCAAGATCAGCCATTACAGGTAGAAACACTTAAAATCCAGCCTTCAGCAGTTCTGATAACAGCAATACGTTTTATTTCAATTGACTGTTTGAGACAAGGTCTGACTATGCAGTTCAGGCAGGTCTGAAACTCAAGGTGACCCTCCAACTTCAACCTCCTCAGTGCTGGGATTATAGGTATGGATTCCATGCCTGGCTTTACATTGGTTTGCTCATCACTATGGTAACCATCCTGGCAGCAGGTTGCCAGAACTTAGCCCTCCTGCCAAGATGGATGTCCTTTTCTGCTCTGGGCCCCTTGCTCTCACTCCCAATGGCTAGTAATCCTCCACTGTCCACATTTACCATCTTGATTTCCTTTAGATTCCACATCTAAGTGTGGCTTTGTCCTCTTCTGCTTGGCTTATCATGTAGGACACACTACAAGCTCACCCAGGTTGCCACACTGACAGAATTTCTATCCTTCCTTCATAATGCTGAACAGCATTCAATTGTGTGTACAATATATTTTAAGGATTTTCTTAATTTTTAGTGATGTGTGTATGTGTTTCTCTGTGTATGTGCATGTCTGTGCATGTGTAAATAGACCAGAAGAGAGTATCAGTCAGATCCCCTGGAGATAGAGTTACAGGTAATTGTGAGATGGGTGATGGAGACTGAACTTGGGTCATCTGCCAGAGCAGTAAGTGCTCTGAACCACTGAACCATCTCTCCAGACCTCTACCATTTTTTTTTTGGTTTTGTTTTTTTGTTTTTCGAGACAGGTTTTCTCTGTGTAGCTTTGCGTCTTTCCTGGATCTTGCTCTGTAGACCAGGCTGGCCTCGAACTTACAGAGATCCACCTGCCTCTGCCTCCCGAGTGCTGGGATTAAAGGCGTGCGCCACCACCGCCCAGCACTACCTTCTTTTTTGAGACAGTGCTTCTCACTGAGTCTGGATTGCCACTGAGCCCCTGGTATCTGCCCGACTCTACCCACTATCCAGCACTAGCTTTTACATGGGTGCTGGGGATTCAAACTCAGGACCTGGTACTTGTGTACTTTGCCCACAGACACACATGCACCACCGAGGAGAGCAGCTTGTTGGCTGAGAGTTCAGAAACTTGGTTTGGGTCACAGTCTTCCATTGTCTGGAGGCCAAAGGCCAATTTCATATCTGGGCTCAGGTTTCTGATTTCTGCAAAATGAGTTTATTCTTGACTTCCCAACTCAGAAAGTCAGTATGCACAGAAGAGCTGCAACC